ATATATATATATAGAACATTGTTATGATTTAATTGGTAAAATATTATAAGCATTTTCTTGCATTACTTTTATTATATTGTAAAATATATAACGCAATTCTTTTATTTCGGTGTGCAAAATATTATAAAATACTTAAGTAAAATATGTATATACACTAGATCCTATTTGTGTAACTTTTTATACATAAAGATTATATATTTTTTTCTTTTAAAATATATTGAATCGCTCTCTTTAATAATCTAAATCTCTAATTTATATTTATGTCTGCTGTCTGTCTGTGTGTCTGTATCTGTGAGTATGTGTAATGATTAGAAATTTATTTATAAAATTTTATTTCTGGCATTTTAATATTTGTTTTGTTTGAACGAAAAAAATAAAATGATTTAATAATATGGTGTAAAAATTAAGCAGTATGAGGCCTAGACTATGAGTTGAGGGGTGTTTTTTTAATTTCTAATTCGTTTTAGAAAATAAAAAAGAACATAAATGTTGGGGGGAAAATGACAAATTATCATTAAAAATATTTTTTTAAAAATGTTAAATCATAAAAAATTTAGATAAAACTTTCTAAAATGCTATTTGGAGGGGGTGGTACATTAGAAAAAAATATGTAAAATAATAAGAAAGTAAGTCGACAGATGGCAGCAGCTAGAGGAAGAAGGTATTAAAAAGCGTGATTTATGTAGGTGCACGTTGTTAAATGTTTAAGTGTCTCTCGAAAAATGCATTAAAAAGAAAAATTTCGGATGACGATAATCAATTATTTATTAATCCTCGATATTATTGTTTAATTTAGATCTATTCATTATACATGAAATTAATGCGAAAAGGGTAAAGAGAACGATTTGTGAAGAACTCACGCGGGTAAAAAGATTGCCGAAAAGTATTAATATTTCATTTCTACTAATGAACTGTCTAAATATTTAAATCTTCTTAGAATAGAAAAATAATAAGTTGTCGTTTATCATTCTTTACTCACAAATCATCAATTGGAATTTATGGAAAAAAGAAAAAAAAAAAAAAAATTGCACAATGTCTGTTGTAAATTCGAAAATTTATGGCTCCTTAGTAATAAAATTCGTTATCTGATGAAAGAATTAAAATCGAAAATCCCACTAAAGTTTATTATTATATAATAATGGAATAAAAAAAAAATCAAAAAATCTTATGCAATTCCACACGCGTTAATACGGCGAATATGTTTACTTTCGCATCGATAGGATATTTAAATTTTTAATTTTTTTTCTTTTTTTATTAAATATATACACTATAATCTATGCATTTTGTACACGTGTATAGCACAGAGGAAGGCGTGGGTGATGCAACCTTGACCTCTGCTTGATCGTCGATCGCTTGTTTACAGATGCCAGAGCGGAAAGTACGTGCAACACAACTTAGTTATTGTGTAAACAGTTGTGACTACGCAAACTACTTGTCAACAGTATACTGTCAAGGATGTGAGAAAGTTACTGACGTAGAATTGTAATCTGTTAAAAAATATATATATATAAATGAAAAGAAAAGAAAAGAAAAAAAAAAAAGTAACAAATCGTTGCTAGTCACTCTTTAGTAATTATTACAAAATTTTTACGAGATTAATTCACTAGATGTCACCGCTTTATCGGTGTTTTAAGTGTTTTTGCCAACTGTTGCCATAAATAACTTAGACTTATTCTTTTCAAGAATTAAGTTTCATAATGGATAAAATTATCGGGAGTTATTTTTATACTTTGCTAGTACTTTACTAGTAATTCTGATAATTCTAACTTATGATTTATCTTTTTCTTTTTCTTTAAAATAGGTAAATCAAGTCAAAATTATGATCTTTTTCTAAAATATATATATATATATATCAATTTTAATATATAACTTTGGTCTTTATTTTTATTATTATTTTTTTAAATTCTCATTGGTCACGTTTGCATTTTGTTTATTCAATCTATTGTTAATATCGTGTAAGAAGAATCTATTCCATATATTTTAAGAAGAAAAACAAAAAAAAAAAAGGGGGGGAGCGATGAAAATTTATATGTAGTCTATTTAAATAGAAGAAATATAACACTAAAATCCTAAAGATAGATTTATTGGAAAAATTAAAAAACGAAGTCCTTTCTATATCTCGTTCCATAAGATATTAAAGGTGAGATATTTTCTACATAATTTTAAAATTAATTTACAGATTATTGATTATTTTAATTAGTAATTAGAGGAAAATTTAAATTATTTTAATTTTCTTTATTATTATTATTATTATTTGAATAAATTAAATAGAATTCGTAGATGTAGAATTAATTTATGACTTTGTAAAATTGTAATTCGTATTGCATGTATATAATATAAAAAGTCGGTCATATCGGGAAGTAAACGGTTGTAAGAGGTAAATAATATTGTTTTTTTTTGCATCGACTATTGTAATATATAGGCTATAATTTAAAATATTCGTTATTAAAATGTATATTTGAGGTATTTTCGTAAGGCCCAATATAAATGACTGCGGTACAAAATACTAGAGGCTGGCCTCTAAAATAACTTAATTATCTTTGTTTATATTAGCCGCTTAGTAAAATTAATCTGCTCGGTGTTTATTACGGGAAAAGATTATTAAAAAAAAAAAAAAAGTCGATAACTATGTAGGAGTTAAGTTATATCTGTAGATAATTTGATTTGTTTCTTTTGTAGAAGATTAATTCGATGATTTATCGATATTGTTTCTTTTGCATTTTATTAAGTATTAAATAATATAAAAGACGAGCGTAAAATAAATGTAAACGAATATATAATATATAATAATACACAACGAGTTAAGTTTTATTTATAAATCGGATGTTTTCTTGTAAATTTATAATTAAATTCGATCGGCATTGCCGTAATGGGGTGTATTGTTCATTCGATTAGTATTAAATCAAATGAGTGCATAAACACAAATACTTAATTGGACCTGAACGAATGTTTTCTATACAATGTTCTATTAACATTTAAAGTGTTTTAAATACTTTTGCTAAATAGCGCAACGCGTAACACGTTACAAATAAATATATTTATATACACGCATAAAATTTCAATAAATTCTTAAGAGAATTTCGATATTACGAAAGTAATATAATAAAATACAAGAAAAACAACATATAAATTTATTATTTGTATAAATTATATATAGCCTATATATAAGTGCGCGTGATTTACTTTGTTAAAGTTTTGTCAATTATCAATTTTTATAAAATTTAATTTATCCTCGGCCATCATTATTGTAGAAGATAACATTTTATTTAATATTCGACCTTGACCAAAAGACAATTTATAGATCATTATCTATATTTGCATTCTCTGACGTCATTACCTCTCTGTAAAATGTTCGAAGTAGTTCAGGCATTTAATATTCCTTTCGATCTCTTAAATCTAATTCCAGCCAAATTTAAAGTTGACAGGAAAAGGATCACTGATTTATGGACGTAATCTGCTGCCGAATAGTTTTATAACTTTAGAAGAAAACTTTATAACTCGCCCAAGACATTATAAGCTGCTACTGAGTTGACATTCTTATTTTTTTTTTTCTTTTCCTTTTCCTCCCCTTCGTAATCTATGTATATCTTTAATAAAATATATGTTTCTTTTTATCTTTAGAATAATGTTTTAATCGTAAATAAATCAATGCTTATTTTTCCTTCTTTGCTCTCTAACAATTTTTACTTCATTTAGGGCTTTTCCACCAATGCAATAAGGATGAATGATTCAAAAGGATTATATCCAGCGTAGGAAAGCTAGTAAGGATTTATCGTAAGAAAAATCGCGAGTGCATTTTTTTTTTTTTTTTTTTTTTTTTTTTGATGGTCATCATTTCCCCTTTCGGGGATCAGAATCATCCTTGTCCCGTTTTCACATCACAAGGAGGACGTTTCGTTTATTAAAATTAACATTATTACAAATTGACATTAAGTACATAGAGTAAAAAGTTATAAAATACATAAATAACACTGTACAGCCTGCTTGTCTAACTTGACAAGCATGTGCCGGAAGCTTTCCGGTCAATAGGTGGTGAAGAGGACTTTCTCCATCACCTTTACAAAAGTGTCCTTCTCACGAAGGTCCTGAGGTCATGTTTGAGGCACTTATCTCTGATGAGGTTATAGAGTTGTAGGTCATTATTTCCAGTGTTTAAATGATGAAGACTTAGAATTTCTGTCCTTTCTTTATCATACTTGTAACAGTTAAGTAATAGATGACTTATGTCTTGAATGCCGCTACCACAATCGCATACTTCTGATTGCCTTTTACCGATTTTCTTTAAGTATGAGTAGCAATTCCCGTGGCCTGTATATAGTTGACAATTGATGTGATCCATAGGGAGCCAATTGAGTTCTTTGACTCGTTCTTCCACGCTTGGTATTAACCAAAACATGTGTCTTCCTTTCTGAGAGTATGACCATCTGTCTTGCCACTCTGCAATGGTTTCGTCTCTGAGTAGTCTCTTTATCCCCGAAATGGGGATCCTGCCTTGAGTCACGTCAGTCATGTGTGCCGCCTCCTTAGCTAGGAGGTCCGCTCTCTCGTTCCCAAATATGCCACTATGGGCCTTTATCCATTTCATTTTGATGTTAATTCCACTTTGATTTATTATTTGTTTAATATTTAAAGCTGTTGCATTAGTATCAGCAAATTGTTGTAGAGTATCTAAAGCAGATCTGCTATCTGTATTTATTATGATTTGATCAGACACATGGGTTCTTGTTACCCACATAATTGCTCTTTCGATAGCATAGAGCTCAGCTTGAAAAACCGAGCATGAGTCCATTAATCTATATTGTTCAGTATGAATTTCAGCGTCATTCTGCATTGCCATAAAAGCAGCTCCAACGTGGTTATCCACTCTCGAGCCGTCTGTGAATATTTCGATCGAGCCTTTTTCCCTCTCCTCTGCAATGTT